AAAATTTTTTTTTTTTTTTTTTTTTTTTGTATCTGAGAGTTTATCTTTTAGGCTTATGTTTAGTGATTCCAGTACACATGGTTTCTTCAAATCTCATCCATCTCTCTCTCTCTTCTTTTTCTCTCTCTAGAATCTTCAAGAACACAGTGTTTTAAATTTCTGGGTTCATAGATTAAATTCTGAGTGGCTATTACATAGTTCAAAGATTTTTAATATATTTATTCGATTTAGATCTTCGAAAGCTCGTTCTCGTTCTTGTTCTTGTTTCTTGTTTCTTGTTTCTTGTTCTTAGGTTTTTGTCTGTCTGTGTTGGATCTGTTATTGTCTCATGTGGAAACCTTAGTATTTTCAAAAACAAAAAAAACCATTGTTATTTGTTCATAAACATTATGATGAAAGGTAGTTTTTTGTCTCAACAACAACAACTACTCATGGATCAAACTTTGTCCAATTTGACTTCTCCTTCTTCTCCCAATAACCCGACCCAATTTTTCTCTCCTCCTCCCCCGAAGCGGAAGCGGAATCTCGCAGGAAATCCCGGTAACGTTTCGTCTACTCTGATACCATGTTAAATTCTTATAATTCGACTCGTTTGAGTTCTGGGTCATGGTAAATTTCCATATTCTAATTCATCTAGGTTTTTCGGGTTATCGAGTTATTTAGAATTGAATTTTGGTGAATTTGGATTTAGACCCAGATGCGGAAGTGATAGCGTTATCGCCAAAAACGCTCATAGCAACGAATCGATTCGTGTGCGAGATTTGCAACAAAGGGTTTCAAAGAGATCAGAATCTTCAGCTACATAGAAGAGGGCATAATCTTCCATGGAAGCTGAAGCAGAGATCAAACAAGGAGGTGATAAAGAAGAAGGTGTATGTTTGTCCTGAGCCAAGCTGTGTCCACCATGATCCATCAAGAGCTCTTGGTGACCTCACAGGAATAAAGAAGCATTTTTGCAGAAAACATGGTGAAAAGAAGTGGAAATGTGACAAATGTTCTAAGAAATATGCTGTTCAATCTGATTGGAAAGCTCACTCCAAAATTTGTGGCACTAAGGAATATAAATGTGATTGTGGAACGCTTTTCTCGAGGTAATTATAACCCGTTTTAGTTAATGAATTACCGATTAGTCTCTGCGAATGCAATGACGAGACCTATCCTTTCAGTCTACTTTCCTACGGTACTGTTCTAACAGGTA